CCTGGACCGCCCGCCGCCCGTGGGTCGTTCGGCCCCTGGGCTGGCCACAGTCCTTGGTTATGTTTGTTGTTTTGTTTGTTTTCGCTTGTCTGTCGGCTTCACTGGTCCGCCCGCCGCCCTGCGGTCGCTCGGCCCCTCGGCTGGCCCCATTATTTGGTTTTGTTGGTCTTTGTATTTTTGCGCTTGTCCGTCGGCAGCGCTGCGAGCTCGTGGCGACCAGCGCGGCCGACGGACAAGCGAAAACATGCAAAACTGACAACACCAAGGAATGGGGCCAGCCGAGGGGCCCAGCGACAGCTGGGCGGCGGGCGAGCCTGGGGCGACAAGCGAAACACAAACAAACAAAACCAGGGAATTGGACCCGCCGAGGGGCCGAGCGACCCAAAGGCGGCGGGCGAGCCTGGGGCGACCAGTGCAGCCGACGGACAAGCGAAAACGAACAAAAACACATAAAACCATAGAATGGGGACGCCGAGGGGCCGAGCGACCGCGGGGCGGCGGACGAGCCTGTGGCGACCAGTGCAGCCGACGGACAAGGGAAACTTACCCTGGCGACGTACCCAACCCTCGCTCAATGCGGGGCATATGTACATCAGCATTGCTACAACGGGGGCGATGACGTAGCATGGGCGCATGCGATTTTGCGAGCAGCGACCGGAAAGCTCGCAGGCCCCCGATCAAGATATAAGGGCGACGTAAAAATAAATCACCCCCGCTGGCTGTGCCATGCGCCCGCTACACCCAAAGTACCCCCACAGCAGCTCTTGAGAGCCCCCGCGGGATACGTGTAGGCGCAACGTTATGGCCATCGCCCGGCAGATGGTCTGTTTCAGAAGTCATACCCGTTGGTTGTGCGCCCGCTGCGCCCAACGCATCCTACAGCAGCTCTCCAGAGCCCCCCAGGGACGGCGAGGTATCGCTCAGGTCCCCGCGGTGCCTCAGTCCGCTGGGCCCAGCAGCAACCCTCGAAAGTGGCGACAGCGTCGCAGATCGCAGCCCCCCCCAGGAACGGCGAGGTCTCGCTCAGGTCCCCGCGGTGCGTCAGTCCGCTGGGCCCAGCAGCAGCCCTCGAAAGCGGCGACAGCGTCGCAAATCGCAGCCCCCCAGGAACGGCGAGGTCTCGCTCGGGTCCCCGCGGTGCCCCACTCCGCTGGACCCAACAGCAGCCTTCGAAAGTGGCGACAGCGTCGCCGATCGCAGCCCCCCCCCCCAGGGACGGGGAGGCCTCGCTCAGGTCCCCGCAGAGCTTCGTTCCGGTGGACCCAGCAGCCCTCGAAAGTGGCGACAGCGTCGCAGATCGCAGCCCCCTGGGGACGGCGAGGTCTCGCTCGGGCCCCCGCGGTGCCTCGCTCCGCAGGACCCGCCGGCAGCCCTGGAAAGTGGCGACAGCGTCGCAGATCGCAGCCCTCCGGGGACGGCGAGGTCTCGCTCGGGTCCCCGCACTGCCCCACTCCGCTGGACCCACCAGCACCCCTCGAAAGTGGCGACAGCGTCGCCGATCGCAACCCCTTGGGGACGGCGAGGTCTCGCTCGGGCCCCCGCGGCGCCTCGCTCCGCCGGGCCCGCCAGCAGCCCTCGAAAGTGGCGACAGTGTAGCAGATCGCAGCCAATTGGCCCTTGACAAGAGGCACGCGCAAGAGGTGCCGTAGCCAGGATGCACGCACACACACACACACACACACACACACACACACACACACACACACACACACACACACACACACACACACACACACACACACACACACACACACACACACACACACACACACACACACACACACACACACACACACACACACGCACACGCACACGCACACGCACACGCACACGCACACGCACACGCACACGCACACGCACACGCACACGCACACGCACACGCACACGCACACGCACACGCACACGCACACACACGCACACGCACACGCACGCACACGCACACGCACACGCACACGCACACGCACACGCACACGCACACGCACACGCACACGCACACGCACACGCACACACACACACACACACACGCACACGCACACGCACACACACACACACACACACACACACATCCACACACACACACAAGGTACGCACACGACAATAGGAGACACGAGGAACGCGAGAGGCGGGAGGAGGAGGACTGGAGACCGCAGTGCTTTATTCAGAACGAATACCCAATCAAGGAGGGTTGGGAACAAACAGAAACAAACAAAATCAGGGAATTGGGCCAGCCGAGGGGCCGAGCGAGCGATAGGCGGCGGGCGAGCCTGGGGCAGCCAGTGCAGCCGACGGACGAGCGAAAACAAACAAACACAATCAAACCCAAGGATAGAAGTCTCGGAACCAGGCAAATTGAGAAATCCCCAAAGGTGGTTCGGAGGTCGTCCTCGTAGTCGTTTCGAAATGGTGGTGTCGGGTCGATTGCGATTCGTTGTTTTCGCGCGCGAGGGCCCGAAGGTCGTTTTCGTTTTGGCGTTGTTCGCGCTGTATGTGGCGAGTTCAATATCGACCTCGCTTTTTCTGACATTTCGGATCCAGCTCAAAGCAGCACTCATGTAAGTAGTTGAAATGTCTGTTGATGCAGAGTGTGCTAGACGCATCCTCGCCCCATCTCCTCCAGCTTCTCGTTCAGACATTCCTCGACCTACTTTGCCTTTTCGTGGGGCCCGACAGCCCTCCATCCTCCTCCCTCCCCCCAGTGCCTTCGGGCCTCCTTGGTCCTCCTCGTAGTTGTCAGAGTTCAATAGATACAAGCCACCCCCGACAGAAACGGCGACACGACGTTGGTGACGCTGGCGGTGGAGACGGCGACGGCGACGAGCCCCCCTCTAGAGACACATGAGGGCAATGCCAACAAGGACTTGTTTAGCCCTCCAAACCTTGGGAGCACCCTGAACTGTCCGACAGCACTGAAATAAGGTAGGGAGATTCAGGCTGTTGGTTTCTGGGGCTTGCAAGTTCCCACCGAACCCCAAACGCGTCGGGCCAACGCAATCTCGGGGTAGGTGCATCAAACACACGTGGGGGCCCGATGTAACATACAGCAAAGGAAACGCAGCCAAACGCCAGACGATGGGGGGCGAGTGGGGAGGAGGGCACGGGCGAGGAGGAACTTCACGACAGGAGGGGGCGTAAGAAGGGGGAGCTGCCACAACCATTTTGGCTCAAACTGTTTCGACCTTCGGCCCCATTTTGGGGCGACAGGCTGCTCCGAACAATGAAGCGAGCGCACCGCAGGCCACCTGGCAGTGGCCATGCTAGACAGTGATTCTGATGATTGGAACGCTAGTGGTGGTGGTCAGATCGTCGCGGCCCCTCCTGCATCAGATGCGCAGAGCGACGACGACGACTGGAACGCTGCAGCCGATCCCATCGATCGCCTCCCTGAGCTGGTACCATGTCATGCGATTGTTGCAGTCCATCCTGCCCCTGCTGTCAGTGACGCGTGCGCGCCCATTGCCGACGTTCCGCGACCAGACATGGCGATGAGAAACAGGTTGCGCCAGAGACGACTAGATGGTTGCAGGGAAATCGCCCACACATATCAGGCTCAGGTTCAGTGCGCGTCGAAAGCCAGGTCCTTATTACATGGCCGAGGTAGCAGCAACCATCTCGTTGAGAAGGCTCTGGCAAGTGCGTTTTACTTGTATAGAGGCCTTCGCAAGAAAGTTGCCGACCTTCTTTGCAGTGCAGTTCGTCGGTCTGGACTGGGCGGCTCTGGAGATGACAATTCGAAAGCAGTTGTTTACATCAGGCGCAGGAAATATGATGAGGCCCAGCAGCCTTGCGTCGCCCCGATACCTGCGGGAGTCGATGCGCCTGGCCACGACGTGTTAGCGATTCCCGACAATCGAGGGCACCTCTTGGACAAGCAAGACAAACGCCATAAGGTCATGGTGAGTGAACTTGCTTGGGGACTCATCCTACGACGTCTTCGTGGAGATCGGTCCGAATACCTTACACTGCTGGGTCGACTGCCGTCCATCTTACAGACGACCGACAAGAACAATGGTGAGACAGTCGTTGAGAGCTTACGCCTGCAGCACTTCGAAGGCGAGCCCGATCTTGTCGCAGGCGTTGAGAGGGTAGTGAACATCGCGTGTCACGACGAGGGCGCCCCGAATATTCGAGCAGAGCGATACCTCGAAGATCGAGCTGGGCCCTGTGAGACAACGCTCACCCTTCTTTGTATAGCCCACAAAAAGGCCCAATGCAATGGGGAGTTAAACCTAGTTCAGAAACCAGTTGATTCACATCTTATCAGGCTGCAGTTGTCGATGCAAGGGTCGCACGGCTCGAGTGTGATCGACGCCGCCCGAGCGATCATCCAGGAGAGAGTCAGAATCATTTCCGCCGACAGTTTGGGCACTGAGGCGCTGGACAGGATGGAGTCTACTTTGCAGTTGTGCTTATCTGGTTCTACTCCGTACGACCGTTACCGCAGGCATGTTGTATCAAATTTGTTCTATGGAGATTGGGGCAAGCATGGTGTTTTCAGAGTGGTTGATCGATGCAGTCTCGGTCGTCCACGGCTGGTTCAGATGCTGTGCACTTTGGGTTTGCAATGCTTGTTGCCGAGACGAGCTTGGAAGGTCTTGCAGCGCAACAATTGGACGGGCAGCGACGCATGTGTGGACCAGGTCTTGCTGCCCACGCTGATCTTCGGCATCTTCCCAGCGGCGTACTGCAGAGTAGCCGACGTCGATCTGGCTGCTGTGCTGCAGGTGCCTGCGCACGAAGCTCACGGGGGGAGGTCCAGCGGGGGAGGACTTTCGGTGGCCCATCGGTCTCGCCTCCCAATCGGTCGTCTTTCTGGGTCCTCGACCCCCCCCGTCGCTCTCCTCCACGGGGCGCCTCTGTCGGGTCTTCGCTCGAGCTCGCCGTCGATATCGTGCCGCGTCCTTCGGCGATCCCCCTTGCGGCGTCGCCGCTCTCGCCCGTCTCGTCCTCTCCCCCTCGGTCGCCGAACCCGCGGGGGGGTGTCTATTGGGAGCGTGGGATCGATGGTGCCGCTAGGTGTGGCCGCCGCTGCCTTGTCCAGCGACGTGCTCGGCGCTGCCGGCTTGGGCCCGTCCGACGTCGGCGACGAGGGCGAGGATGATGAGAACTTATGGATGGAGGACTCGACCGATCGCAAGACGCGGACGACGTCTTGGATTCTGAGTGGCAGATTTCAGGATGATCTCGTGTTGTTTCGGATCTGCCTGCAGAGATCTATGCCATGGGTTCTTCGGCAGCTTCGGTCTTCCAGCGTTTTTTTCGAGCGTGAACAGCAAGCTTGCTTCTTGCGGGACGGTAGCCGTCATTACCAGGCGATTTTACGGTACGAAGGCGAGGACAACGGCGCCTTCATGAATGGTATTGGCGACATGGTTTTCAAGGATTCCGAATTCGATCTCGTCAGCTGTCGCACCGAGTCCCAGCAGTTGATGGCATTCCTCATGAGCATTCGGCTGGGCGCTGCCGCGCACGAGCTTGTCATCACCAGATGTCGTAAGCCACCCTATCCAACGTTAGCGGCTCTGAAGTACCCAGAGGTTCTTGATCAGCTGCCCAAGCAATGCCCGAACACATTGGACTCGTACACCAGAGGTTTCTTGTCTTTCTATAAAGCAGACATTCACGGAGCTGGCGCCAGGGCCGAACTTACTTCAGTGGACTTGCTGGCTGATACCGACACGAGCTCCACAGAACGAGAACATTCAGTCCAAGCCAAGAAAGCGGGTTCAACGACAACGAACAAAAAACACATCATGGATCTGAGTGCAGAGGTGTTCTTCTCGGAGGAGATGTCAACTGGCTTGTGGCGTTCGCGTCCGACTGACAAGGCTGCCCTTCGTGCGCAACCTTCTGGATGTCGAGGCGACCCTGAAGACGGACATCAGCGTGAGCAGGTTTGTCGCATGGGGCCGTGGCGGGCGTTTCTTTATTGTTCTGGCTTGCCGATCAACCCATCGTCGATGGCAGAACTATCACTTCTCTATGGCGGGTTGGACGAAGAGCAGATGCAGTACTACGAGCAGCTCGGTCGCATCATGTCAACGGTAGCTCGCGCTGGTGCACAGCTACGGCCACAGCGGAAACGGCCACGGATCGACGCGCTTCCGTTGGACGATGGCATGCCAGAGGGGTCAGTGGCAGACGAGCCTGAGGATCCAGACGCTGACGACGACCGCCGCCACACCACCGCTAATTACAAGCTCTGCATGCGGGAGTTCCGCGACGCGCTCCGTCGCGAGAGGCAGGCGCACCGAGAGTTGACGTCCAAGCAGGTCGAGATCGAGAAGGAGGTCAAGGCTGGCTCGCCCGACCCAGCGACACTTTCAGCTACCATGAGGTCAAGGGTGCCCGTGAATGCCCCTACGCGTCCTACCGTCTTCGGTCTTAGTTTTTCTTGTTCTGCGCTTTGGCTCCCAAAACGGTTTGGGCTACGTGTCACGGGGGGACGGGTGTGAGCATTCACGGGCGCCGCGATAGGTCGTGGCGCCTGATGGGCGCAGAGCAGCAGGCGCATTTCCAGGCGGAGCACGCCCATTCCCACTCTGCGTTCGTCACCCTTGACTTGTCCACCGATGAGGCGTTGGAGGCCGCTGGCGAAGCTGCTGCTGAATTTACGCAGGAGGCAGCATCGCAAGAGTGGAGGCGCCTCCACGCGCAGATCATGACATCGCGCGTTGAGAAACTCGGGAAGGTACCGACCACTCGTACACAGTGTTTCGAGGCTGGCTATTGTGTGTGCCAAGGCGACCTCGGAAAACTCATGAGACTGTCCGTGGCCCGCTTCCGTGCTGCTCTTCGTGGCTTGAAGGCGGCGCGTGGCACGAAGAAGCACTTCAAGCTGCTCGTGAAAGACGTCCCGATGCTGGTTGTTAAGGTCGAGGCTGTGAATGGCGCTGGGGAGAACCTTGGATCTGACCTGTGGCTGCACGTCAGTAAGTATCGTGAACTACCAACGTTGTACCCTATCTTCTGCAATATGATTCGTCTCCCTGCTGAAGACCGCCATGACTTAATTGGCGTGGCGCCAGTCCAGGACTGCAGGGTCCCAGACTTCGTCGACATTTGGGCGGTGTGCCGTCGCTTGCTACCCTTGGATGATGCGTTGAACCTCGTGTTCTACAAGCTCGTTGGGCAACCGCATGTACGAGTTCTCAGGGTAACACCGTCACGACAAAGGGTTCATCGATTGCATGTGGAGGGGGGCGCGTACCCAGCCATCGCCATCTGGGACGGCGCGGAGGCCGAGGTGCACAAGCTTGACGAAGCCGAGAAAGCTGCCAGGGATCTTGCGCGCCGAGGAGGCCGCCTTGGATGTGGCTCGGGTCGTGGTCGTGGACGGGGCGGTGGTGCACCAGCAGTGGCTCATGACGATGGTATGGAGGTGATCGTGCATGGTTTGGGCCACGGCGTCGACGACGAGCAGCAGCTTGCAGCGACCGCCGAACCTGAATGCGCAGCAGGTGACGATGATGCCGCGTCCCAGCATGGATTCCATTCCGACGGTGGTTCCTCGGCAGCGCTATTCATGGACAGCGACGGGAGCGCTGACGACGACCTGTTCGAAGAGATGATGCGTGACAACATTGAGGATGACATCGGGTCCGTGCCATCGGATATTGACTTGGAAGAACACATCGACCAACAGTTGCGCCAGTTCTCGAAGCCACCGTCTTCATGTCCAGGCAGCCCTGTCTCGGTGTCGGGCGACGTGCCGATGGAGCCGAGCGCGCCCTCCAGTGGACCTGGTCATGTCAAGGCTTCGCGTGAGCTCAAGTGGAACAGTAACGCCATCACCGTCAACACTGACCATGGGACCATCAAGTATTATAGGGTGACGAAGCGCTTGGTAGCAGAGCTGCCGCTCGCAGTGTTCAATGTGAAGACTACGCAGGAGAGGTCGTGCAACGCATCTTTACATCGTTGCAGGGGGAGGCCGATCGGCTACTTGATGGCGTGGCTGATGCTCCCGAACGTGGAGGGTGGGCGAGCTCGCCATGTCCGAGGGTTCCAGGCGAGCCTCGACGTTCGAAAGAGATGCAGGGAGATGTTCAAAGCGATCGGTGGTCCCGAGGTCGAGTTCATTTTGAACCATGGTGAGCGCGAGCTTCAGCCTGGGGAGCCAGAGGAGCCCGAGTCTGCAGACTGAGCAGACTCAGCACTTGTGAAAACAATGAAATCTCCTTGGCGTAATTGTTGTGGCTCCCATGCTTGCCGTCCGTCGGCGCCGTTCTTTCCTGTTGATGGGGCAGCGGTCAGCAAATGACGAGGTCAGAGCCAGATAGCTTTAGCGAGCGAGTGAGGAGAGGAGGAGGACAGAACCAGGAGGAGGACGACAAGGAGGATGAAAACGTAACAGAGGGGGGGGTGCCTTAACCCGATGGCGCCTTCATGAAGCGCGACGGTGATGGTCGTCAAGCGCGGGGGTGGCACGCCCACCGCGACGTTTTATCTTCTCTCGCCTTCTTTCTCTGTTATGTTTCCTCCTCCTCGCTTCCTCCCTCTTCCTCTCTCGCTCTCTCTTTCTCTCTACGACCTTTCTTTTCCCGCGCGCTCTCTCTTTCCATCGCCTCCTCTCGCCTTCTCTCTCTGCGGGGCCCCTGGCCGCCTCAAGTGGGCTTCCTCCTTCGCTTCTCTCTTCTCCCTGCCCGACCCACTGCTGACCACCTCATGCCTCCTCGCCGCCCTCACTTGGCACCCCCCCCCGCCTGGAAGGCTCGAAGGAGCAAGGACGTGTTGGTTTCTGATTGCGTCGTTGTATATTTTGTACTCGCCTGTCGGCGCTCCGACGTCACCTGAGGGGCTTGGAGGGGCCCTAAGATCTGGCCGACGATCCTGGCCTGGCGGGGGTGGGGGTGGGGCGAGCCCCCTTCTTCAATCTGGCACGCACCGCGCTCCAGACAATCCGAATGTGGCCCCATGTAGGCCATTGATGGGCCCGCGCACGGAGGCTCAAGCACGAACATCTAACTAGCATTCGGCAGCATTCGCGCCGAGATAACATGCCCAGGAAACGCACCCAAACAACAACATTGGTTTCAATATTCTACAGTGGCGCACAATGAACAGACGTCGAAGTGCCTCCCCCCATGGCTCCTTTCCCCGCCCCAATGCCCTAGACCCTAGACCCCCTATCCACCCTCACCCTCCCACTCTCCCCCCCTTTTCCCGCCCCCCCACCCCCCCCCCCCAGGGCCGCGTTGAGAGCGCCAGTGGCTTCCGTGCGCATTTCGCACCACATAGCCCGCACCTGCGGCGAAACTTCACCATAATAAAATCAACTAGATGAATTCCGCGACGCGGCAGCGAGCACCAAATGTCAACATGATCGCAACGCGCGCGCATGCCAGCCATGTGGCTGTCGCCGCTTAGTCCACTGAGTATATATGTGTTCTCCGCGCTGTGTTTATCGCAATCCAAATGGCTGGCGCCGCCGCACTTCAACCACTGTTGTGGCGCAAGCGGTGCCTGCGATTTGCGCGCGCCGTCGCAAAACCCGCTTCGGTTAGGTGCCGTCAGGCTGCCCAGCAGAAGCGCGCGCCCATGCCTATGTCGATGGACCTGCCTTATCTCGGAGGCATCGTAGCCAGTCGAACCCATCGCGCACGTCGCTATTATCACGCGCCAGAATGACAGGCGAAATGTTTAGGCGCTCGGCATGGCCCAACTCTGCCACAGCATGGCGCAAGCGCTTATGTTCCGAGCCGCAGGGCGTTGGAGGATGCCACCGAAAGCGTCGCAGAGGGGAGTCGCGATGCAAACATATGGGTCATGCGCTGACATTAGCCGCGCCGCTTGCCATGGCGCAATACGTTCGCGATTATCGCGCGTTCCGTAGATGCGCGCCGAAAGCAATCACATTTGCACGTCGCGAAGCGCCGAAGAGCCCCACCTCAGTGCGTCGCGAAGTCAAAGCGCGTCGTTGCGCTTCGGTGCGTGAGCTGAATTACGCGAGGGCCTTGCGACCGTGACGCGCATGCAAACCAAACGCTTGGCAGCGCATTTGCACCCTCAGTCGGTTGTCGCGGTGTACCATGCGTCGGCGGCTCGCGCGTGCATATGCTAATTGTCAGCGGTCAATCTTGGTGGGCGTCACTGAGCTTGCGCCTTCAATCGCGCGCTTCTTTCGCGTGACAGCGCGTCAAGCAGAGGTTCGGCGACTATGCGCGCGTCATGCTGCGCGCGGGACGCGCAACGCTCGCAATGTGCTTGGCCTGGCGCGCGCGGTTTGGGGCACTGTTTGCCGCGTGAGCCGCGCATTTCGCATTGCATGGCAGAGCTGCGCGCGCGACCCATGCGGCGTTTCAGGTGCTCCTGCAAGGATCGTTGCCAGCAATACTTGCTGCGCGCGTGCATTTGCAGGGGCGTGCGCGGACTGGTGGCGGTGATGGCGGAGGCGCGCATGCGTGCTCTTCTTGGGAATGCTGCGCGCGGGGCAGCGCGGCCAACGGGGTGCGGGCAGGGCAGGGCGCGGGCGGGGCAGCGCGCGCAATGTCGCACTGCCAGCGCGACATACTTCACATTGCGACGGCGACAGGGGCCCTCACACGCTACACGTCGCGCTGGTACTCTCTTTGCTGCGCGACCACCGTTGGTTGCGCTCGGGTTGTTGGCGCCAGGAACCTGGCCTTTCAACCCGAAGGTGTCGGCGCCCAGGCGCCAGCTGACGTTCAAGCTCGTGGTGCACCAGTTAGATTGGGCATCTGGGTTGGGCTATGTCTTTCGACAGCCAGAACGGTTTTGAGATGCTGGTCGGCTGGCGTTGCGGTGGTGTCTTTGACTGGGCTTGGGTCGGTGGATGGGCTTTGGATGCGGGGTATGGTCTTGGGCCAGTGCCTCATGTTAGGTCGTTTGCGGCTTCGCGTGCCCTCATAGGATCTCCATTCGATTCTTGGCGGGCCAACGCGCGCTGATATTCCTGGCTCTGTGATCATATCTCGTCTTTTCAATGCGGGCATGCGCGTGCGTGCGCGCGTGTGGTTGCGCGCGCGTTGCGGTTGGCGGCGGCGGCAGAAGCGGCGCGGGTTGGCGGGCGAGCGGGCGGCGCGCGCGCGCGCGTGCGGATGGGAGGGGGGAGGTGGTGAGGGTGGGGAGGGCAACGAGGTCGAGTCTTGTCGCAATTGGCCCTAGGGTTGCGCCACGCGCCGCCCCGATGTCTGCGGCGCGTCGCCCTCCCAACAAACTGGAGTGTCGCGCGGGCCGCGCGCTCTGCGGTGCCCGTGGCGGGCATGGCACGAAAGGAGGGGGGGGGTGCGCAACAATGCAGGGCGACCGATGGGCGCGGCAACGCAGCGGCTGCTCGCATTTCGTCGGGCGCAAGTTCGCGAGGGCGCTTTCGTCGTCTGGAATCCAGCGCGGTGGCTAGTGCGAGATTGCAGTTCGGACTGATTCATCTCGCCGAGGGCGCGATAGGAACAATATCAGTTGTACCCCGCGCAGCTCTAAGCAGCAGGGCGGTAGTCGTAGCAGCAGTGATAAATTTGCACGCGCAGCTGCGGACGGGTAAGCTCAGGCGTCGTGGCAGCAACGCTCGTTTCCCTCGGGTTCGGTGGCGGTCTTTCCATTTCACGTTTCCGTGGGCGTTGCGCCGCCCGATGACATGTGGTTGCGCTCTTCTTCCGCATCCCGTGGGCTCGCTGGCGCCGCAGCTTCCACATTGGAGTCGCCCTTGCTCAGGGGCGGAGGTAAGGAGGCACAGGCTGTCTTCACGTGATGGCAGTTTCAGGTCGACGGGCGTTGAATTTCAGGTTCCTGCATGCGCGCGACATGCAAAGCGTCCCGAACCTGATGGCCGCAGACTCACTTGCGACTGCGCGTGCGTGCGTGCGTGCGTGCGCGTGCGTGCGTGCGTGCGCGTGCATGCGTGCGTGGTGTTTGGGCGTGGAGGTGCGGGCAGTGCTGGAGCGAGGTAGGTGCGGTGGCGGGGTGGGGTGGGGTGGGGCGGGGCGGTGCAGTGGTTGTGGCGTGCGTGCGCGTTTGCACGTGGGTTCGCATGACTGGCAAAGTCTGAGGGTTCGTCGGGCACGTAATCCGTTGCGAGAGGTCCTCCGTCGCGGGCGCGTGACGCAGCAGGGGCCCACGATGATGTTGAAGACATCTGCTTCGGTGGCGGCGGACTTACCAGCCAGTGCATCTGAGAAGGGCGCGGGGTGGGGGCGGTGGTGGGGTCGGGGGCGGCGGCGGTGGTAAGTGGGCGGTGTGGGGTGGGGTGGTGGTGGCGCGTGTGGGGGGCGGTGGTGGTCTGCGTGGTGAATGCGTGCGCGCGTGCTGCGCGTGCGTGCGCGCGTGCGTTCGCATGTGCGTGCGCGTGTTTGTGCGCGGGTGCGTCGGCGCGCGCGCGCGTTTTTGCATTTGTTTCGGGGGGGGGAGGCGCGCGCGCGCGGTGGCCGCGGTGGTGGTGGTGGTGGGTGGTGGGGCAAGAGGTTGCACTGAATGGATTGTTTCATTGGCATGCATGCGCGACGGGCCCCACGGCGCCATTCGACGCAGCGTTGCCATGCGCGTTCTGCGGGCCTGCGGCGCGCCAACGTTTGACGCGTCGGCCTAATGTGGTGGGTGCACAAGCGCATCGCGCATGCCTGTGCTGGGCAGTGCAAGGACGCGCGCCCGCGCCCGATCCGAGCTCGGAGATGAAGTGCCGACGGTACGGGCAACTTGGAAGAGCCATCGGCGCCGACCCTGGGTTCGAGTTTTGGGCGTCGCGGCCGCAACGCGAGCGACCTCGGGGCAGCGTTTGAAGTTCACCCCCCAGATCGAGAACGACCTCCCGACGACCTCCGAACCACCTCCGAACCACCTCCGAACCACCTCCCGACGACCTCCCGACCGTGTCCAGCCGATGCGCGGACGACCTCCCGACGACCTCCGAACCACCTCCGAACCACCTCCGAACCACCTCCCGACCACCTCCCGACGTGTGCTGGCACAGAACGACCTCCCGACGACCTCCGAACCACCTCCGAACCACCTCCGAACCACCTCCGAACCACCTCCCGACGACCTCCCGACGGCCTCCCGACGGCGACGCTCCCGACGGCGGGTTTGGCGGCGACCCAGGACCTTCGTTTCGAGTTGGCGGAGGGATGCGCGATCTGCGTCGGAGGATCGTTTTGCCGCCGCGGCCATGCCAAAGGTCATTGGCACGCGGCC